TCTGACAATCAATGGTGACTCCTCCTTCTCCGGGGCCCTGGGGGGGGGGCGCTGACAATGGTGACTCCTCCTCCTCCGGGGCCCTGACAATGGTGACTCCTCCTCCTCCGGGGGCCCAGGGGGAACTCTGACAATCAATGGTGACTCCTCCTTCTCCGGGGCCCAGAGGGAACTCTGCCAACCAATGGTGACTCCTCCTCTTCCGGGGCCCTGACAATGGTGACTCCTCCTCCTCCGGGGGCCCAGGGGGAACTCTGACAATCAATGGTGACTCCTCCTTCTCCGGGGCCCAGAGGGAACTCTGCCAACCAATGGTGACTCCTCCTCTTCCGGGGCCCTGACAATGGTGACTCCTCCTCCTCCGGGGGCCCAGGGGGAACTCTGACAATCAATGGTGACTCCTCCTTCTCCGGGGCCCAGAGGGAACTCTGCCAACCAATGGTGACTCCTCCTCTTCCGGGGCCCTGACAATGGTGACTCCTCCGGGGCCCAGAGGAGAGCTCTGACAATCAATGGTGACTCCTCCTTCTCCGGGGCCCTGGGGGGGGCGCTGACAAATGGTGACTCCTCCTCCTCCGGGGCCCAGGGGGAACTCTGACAATCAATGGTGACTCCTCCTTCTCCGGGGCCCTGGGGGGGCGCTGACAAATGGTGACTCCTCCTCCTCCGGGGCCCAGGGGGAACTCTGACAATGGTGACTCCTCCTCCTCTGGGGCCCTGGGGGGCGCTGACAATGGTGACTCCTCCGGGGCCCAGGGGGAACTCTGACAATGGTGACTCCTCCTCCTCTGGGGGGCCTGGGGGAGCTCTGACAATGGTGACTCCTCCTCCTCCGGGCCCTAGAGGGAGCTCTGCAGATTAATGATGACTCCTCCGGGGGCCCTGGGGGGCGCTGACAATGGTGACTCCTCCTCCTCCGGGGGGCCTGGGGGGCGCTGACAATGTTGACTCCTCCTCCCCCGGGGCCCAGAGGGAACTCTGCCAATAAATGGGGACTGCTCCGGGGCTAAGAGGGAGCTCTTACAATGGGGACTCCTCCTCCTCCGGGGCCCTGGGGGAGCTCTGACAATAGGGACTCCTCCTCCTCCGGGGCCCTGGGGGAGCTCTGACAATAGGGACTCCTCCTCCTCCGGGGCCCTGGGGGAGCTCTGAGAATCAATGGGGACTCCTCCTCCTCCGGGGCCCAGGTGGAGCTCTGCAGATAACAGGTGACTCCCCCGGGGCCCCTCGGACCTTCAGACTCTGACATGCTTCCCATCACATGGGGGACGTTCTTCTTATGCACTGAACATGACGCACAATGGAGGCTGAAAGGTGATTGGTGTCTCCACAATGGCCGCCGCTTGGCTCCGCCCACTCCGCGCCCAGAGAAGGACGATCATCACTGAACTCCGAACTACAGAAATCCTCCCTCATCTCTCCGCACCCCCCGCAGAACATTCCGGACTGACACTGTGACCGCACGGACATCTGTCAGTCCTCTCCCCTGATATGCTGCGTTCCTGGCTGTGATGACGATCCTCTGACCTCTGACCTCTGACCCCGAGCAGCCGTGACTTTATAATCAGGCCGCAGACAGCCAGGAAATCAAATAAAATCCCCAAATTCAACCCAATCCCGTGTCTGTTCTTCCGTCATCCCAACACTGTGCGCATGACCAGAGGTGTCAGTGTCCGGGATCAGAGGTGTCAGTGTCCCGGGATCAGAGGTGTCAGTGCTGCGGGATCAGAGGTGTCAGTGCTCCGGGATCAGAGGTGTCAGTGTCCGGGGATCAGAGGTGTCAGTGTCCGGGGATCAGAGGTGTCAGTGTCCCGGGATCAGAGGTGTCAGTGTCCCGGGATCAGAGGTGTCAGTG